CCTACTGAATGTCTCTTATGAGTTTTAAATTCACACGCTTGATTCAAGCAATTCAACCTAAAAGCAATTATGAAAAATATTCAAGTACTTGGTTCTATAAAGGAATAAAATCACAAGACAAAGTAACAATTCAGGATGTTATCGCAGAGTATTAGGTGATATCCCTCTTTTATGCTATAGAAAGAGGGAATTACTTCATCTAAACTGTAATGAAACATGTAGAAATTGGAAATGAATGTCCATTTAGGTGGCTTTGTGCTGAAAGGCAAGAAAAATACAATTTGCTTCATTAACACATTTGAAACTGAGCTTTAGAGAGTCTCTATTAAAGACTCTCTTAGGGACAGATCTGTCAATTTAGTACCTTTAACACAAAAGGATCAAGTCTTGCAATGTTGCCTCAGCACAAAGAAGACATTTTCAAGGAGCGTTTGAAATGCAGGACTCTGACAGAGAAGGCAGACACTACCACTTGTGGGAGGGAGCACACATTTATATAAATTCTTAAAAGGTGTGATGTTTTAGCAATTAATGACCCTGCATATATCACTGGTACTAAAACCTCTTCCCATCCATTCATACAGCTGCATCAACGTGCATGCTACATGTTAGATGATCCTTCCCTTGTGCTTTGTTTTGACACAGATCAGGAGATGCTCCCAGCATGCCCACCAGGCAGTCTGGATCTGCCTTCTGTGGCTGTAACACTCCCCACACCAACACTCTTGGTGCCCAGTTCCAGAAAAGAGGTTTTCCCTCTAAACAAGGACAGGGAACTTGTGCCATACTGATGGCCCAGTGTGCAAGTCAGCCAACTCCTACAGCTCACCTGAGCACCTTTCCAGTAAGCCAGCTGGTCGTGGGAGCTGAAGGCCTTTATCAGCAAAGCCACATCTCCAAAAAAGCCCTTGAACACAGATCTGCCCTCCAAAGAGCGCTGCACAGCAAAGCCCTGGGCTTGAAGGCAGAAATAGTAGCTGTGGTGTTGCCACTTCTGCTGCTCTCTCTCTCATTCTAACCATCTCAGGGAATTCTCACTCCCCGAAGGATTCTCCAGCACAAAGATAAATGAAAGATACTTTCCATAATTTTGGACAAATTGAATGTATGTTTTAATACACTCATTTTTCTGGATCCCTATTGCTCTTTATGATAGAAGTGATGAATTACTGTGTATATTTTGGGGCTATTCCTTAAAGGAATGTCAAAACACAGGTAACAATTTTAGAACAGTGAGAGGTAAGCCAAGTACAAAAGTACTTCTACTGTAATAATGAGCAATTTCAATACTCCAGCTGTAACGGGAAGTTCCTGGAACGTGGTTAAACTAAATTCTGCTTGGCTCAGAGCCAGGCAAATATTTCTTTTCCACATTCCCATCAATTACAGAAGTACAGTAAGTGTTTTTGTTCTTAAGTGCACTATTACAGGGGACACAAATAAGACATTTTTTTTTCCCAGTGGTTGGAGCTAACATTTCTAAAATACCATATTACACATTTGGCAGACTTGAAGCATGCTCCAATTTGTACCTGTGCTGCATTAGTAAGCCGTGCCATTTGAATCAACTGAAAATGGGTAGCACAACTGCATGTCCCAACCAGACTACACATGCTTCTGATCACAGTAGAGTTGTTTTTACTTCACTGCTGGTATAAGTATTCACACTAGGGAGAGCAGTCACCACGAGCAGAGAACAACTATTATTAACTGTTTACATGCAAACAATAGCAAATATGTACCACGAAGGAACCTTTTCAATGAAAAATTACACTGGATAAAGTCAGAGTTACCATTATAAATCCATGGTTTAGATTGATAATTTTATCCTGAGACTTTAGTAGGACAATTACTAATCCTACTAAAAAAGAAAAGCTAATCAGAGGCATGCACATACTTTACACGCTTTTTAGAGTGAAATATATCACCCTCACAAACACTACTTTCTGTCACTGACAGTCTACCAAAATAAAAAAAGACTCTAGAATCGCAATGTGCTCTCTCAACACATATCAGTTGTAGTCTGTCTGTACCATGTATACTTATGTCTCCTCTTACAGAGGACCCAAACTATAGCACGAGGCTTAATATGAGTGGAAGAAACAAATTACCCATTTTCTGAAACCTCCAGTCCCATGTGGGGTACATAACAAAGATACATCTGAAGTGCAGGGGTATGAGTTTCTACATTAGCATAAAAAAATAAATGTCCTATGGAATTAACCACAATCATTAAATGTGATAAATTAACCATGAAAGCTATGTTTCCATGCTCAACTCTTTGACTCATATGACTGTCTTAGAAAAGCAATCTAGGTACCTCACTGAAAGTTAAATACCACCTTACTCACAGTCTGCGTAGTCTTACTAATCCTTTACACATAGCATGGACCTGGGGTACCCAACCAGACAAAGATGGCATCTGGCCGGATCCACAGGCAGGGATGCTGGGGAACACAGTTTCATTCTCTTCAAGACAAACTGGTAAACTCCAAGAGCTGAGGGGCCTGACCTTACACATCAGACTGCTACTGGCAGGAGCTCCCTGACCAGTGTCTGACTAGGGCAAGGATGACTGTGAGAGAACAATGGCAACTAGGAAAGTGTTAAATGCGAAATTACTAACATGTTGATGCAGGAAGACAGCTTGGTTTTGTGGACAGCTTTACTCTGGATGGTAAGGTGGATGATGTTTTCTTTGGTTAAATTTTATCTCAACCACAGCATTGAAAACTGAGGTAAAAGCATCACCTCTGTAGCACAACACCCCTTTGCACTCCGTCAGTAGAAAAAGTTCTGCAGTGCTTTTGAGAACTGATCAGATTCATCATCCAGTAAATGCAAGGAAATATTCTACCACTTCAGAAAAGACACCAAATCACATCCTTAATTAGGCAAGAGCTTTCTTTAACAGTACTAAGAAAGGAGAAATACCTGCTTTGCATATATTGTCCCCCTGCCCCCCCTCAGCTGTTCAAAATTACCAATAGCTGTTCAAAAGAAAGGAGAAATACCTGCTTTGCATATATTCTCCCTCTGCCCCACCTCAGTGTTTTCAGAGCCTTACCAATAGCTGTTCAACAACAACAACAAAGTTAAATGGCATATTCTCATTCAGCATCTTGATCACTGTCAAAATCCCTTACTTTCAGGCTCTAGAGTCTGCAATTTTCTTCCTCTTGAACTCATTAAAAAAAAAATTTGCTCATAAAACACTGCTGTCCAGTAAATGCAAGGAAATATTCTACCACTTCAGAAAAGACACCAAATCACATCCTTAATTAGGCAAGAGCTTTCTTTAACAGTACTAAGAAAGGAGAAATACCTGCTTTGCATATATTCTCCCTCTGCCCCACCTCAGTGTTTTCAGAGCCTTACCAATAGCTGTTCAACAACAACAACAAAGTTAAATGGCATATTCTCATTCAGCATCTCGATCACTGTCAAAATCCCTTACTTTCAGGCTCTAGAGTCTGCAATTTTCTTCCTCTTGAACTTACACAAAAAATTTGCTCCTAAAACACTGCTAAAGTCATCTTCATGGTTCAACACTGATCAAAGTAAACTTACCTTCATTTTCCCCAGTGCCTCTTCTTCAGCTATATATTAGATCCCAACCCAAGAAAAACTTGACCAAACCCTATGCCCTTGCTCCAGAATTTTGATAACTAATCTCAGTCAGTCAGTGTTTCTATTCTTTATGATATCTCTTTCTACATTAAACTACCCTTAAGTTTCTTGCATATTCCTCCTTAGTCATGCAAAACATTCTCTCCGACATAATCTACACAGCTATTATCTTATATTTCTTCAAATGTTATCTTTGGTCTTATGTCTATCCACGGTTACACCAAGATGATTCTTATATTTCTTCAAATGTTATCTTTGGTCTATCCGTGGTTACATCTAGATGATCGGTTAACAGAAAAGCAAAACTTGTAGCTTTCTTACTCCTTGTATTTTCTTCTCTTGTTATCATTTGTGAACATGGAGTCCAAACAAACAAACAAAAAACCACCAAAAAAAGAAAACCACCAAAAAAAGAAAACCACCAAAAAAAGAAAACCACCAAAAAAAGAAAACCACCAAAAAAAGAAAACCACCAAAAAAAGAAAACCACCAAAAAAAGAACACCAAAAAAGCCCAAAACAACAACCCCCCCTACACCATCAGCAAAGCTAAGCCAGGTCTTCACAACATAGGCTCCCCTTTACCAACACGCACATCCTGTCTTTCTTTCGATATATGTTTTACCTGATTTGTTCTCTAGGCTTTAAAACCTCTGGGGCAAGAATTATCATCTCTGCTCATATTAGAGTTAGCACAATAAAGACTTAAAATAGGTTAAAGCTCCCAAATGTTACTATGGTATATTGCTTTTTATACTGCCAATTCTGTTAGATTTTATTGGCAATAGTTTGTGTGCTAGAACTATGGACAGACCCTTATTCTATTATCTTTCATGTGGAAAAGCAACTATTGTCCAGAACCCCTCACACATACCCAAACTGAATAATGATTTACTCCATCTAACAAAGTGTGGTAAGATACAGCCTTCCTTCAGAGTGGAGTGGACAGTCAGGGCAGGACAACCACTCTTTGTTGAATGCTGAAGAGCAGCAATGCCAAGAGAGTTCAGAGTCACTTTAAAGCAGTCTTTTCTCCTAACTCCACATGGTTGGGCTACACTACTTACAAAACAACCCGTGTTTGGGCGCTGAAAGCACCACATAAAGTACTTCTGATTCACTGCCTTGCTTCCATTACCTGCCTGAAATTCAAGCAGTGCAAAAGCTCTGGTCTCCATTCTGACAGTGCACAAAGAAAGCAGCTGTACCCCACTTTGGCCCCTCTTTCTGAGACAGGAGTGTATAATAATATTTTCACGCAGAAGGACACAATATATTAGGCTTTGCAAGAGGAGACACTATGGGATCTCAGCAGTACATCATCAGAGTCCCCCAGGTATAGATAACATATGAAAAAGCATATGGACTTACTGATAATTCTTTGATTAATTTTCTTAGCTCCCTGTGTCCGTGCTTCTCAGCGATGCTTGCTGGATCATCACCATATTTGTTAGTTATTCTGCAAGCCAACGGGGCCTCAGGACAATCCAGTAGAAACGTTGCAAGGTTCTTTAATCCAAATCTGGCTGCACAGTGAAGGAGAGTAGGAAATTCTTCCAAATGGCTATCTGTATATGGAAACAAAGTTTTCATAAAGAACAGGTTTGCTTTTATAGAACACCTTCCACCTTCTTTTGTAAAAGTCCTTTGAATATTAGTGCTACCAAATCACAGTTATCAAACTGCCAATACAGACTGACATCCAAAGAATAATTCCTCCAACTAACAGTTTTACAATTCACATACATATTTTAGCGTAACTGAGAAACCTCTTATATTTTTTCCTGACAGATGGATTTTTAGAACACTTAAGAGAAAGTTAAAAAAGTTAAAAAGAATTTCTCACTTATTGAGAAATAAGTTTTCTTGAAAGGGAAGAAAACTCTACAGCCAAGACGTGCTTTTGCTTAGGTGTATATTTTTTAATGCTTTAGAAATATTTTTAATTTGAGATGTCTGAATGGGACATTGTTAGAGGGTTATGGTGCTATGTTTTCATATTAAAAGATGTTTCTGAAGATTCACATGACTACCAGAGACTTTCAAAAATTTACTTATCCCTGTAATGAAAAATAAGATAATTTAAGTATGAATTTAAATATGGATGATGTTTTTTAGGATTTATCTGAAATAGCATGATATTCATTTCTGTCACAGACTTTATTTTGCACCTTGGAGAACTAGGACAAAGCTAAGCTGAAGTCAGTTTATCATTTCAGCCTATTCCTACATTTTGACTCTAAGAGTGGCAACAAGTTACATACAGCAACAAAAAAAAAAAAAGAAAGAAAAAAAGATAAATCAAGCATAAACAATACTTCAATCTGTTTTCATACTTTACTGTCTAATCACTTGTGGCTTGTTATGTAGTAATTTGGCTACGTATCAGCGTGCAGTGTATCTCTTTTCCAAGTATGCATCCAGCCTGCCCCCAGGCACCATCAACTTCTTGTTACCCTCAGGGTCTTTTGGCAATATCTTTACTACCCGCTGCCTGAAGAAGTGCTGCTTCTAGTTTGTTTTGAACCTGGCTCCTGCTAGGTTCAATTGATAGTCCCCAGTTCATCTTACTCTCCATCTCTCTCTGCTCTCTCTGCACTTCCAGTGATTTACTCATTCCCAGAATTTCTTTCTTGAAGAGCTCCAGTCTCCCTAATTGTGCCTTATAAAGAATCAACTCCATCACCCCCACTGCTCTTTTCTGAACCTTTTCCAGCTTTAACGTAACTATTTTGAGGTGATAGGAGAAGAGCTGCACATGATACTCAACTTGTGGGTGAACCATGTAATTTATGCATTGTCATAATTACGTCCTGTTTTGTTCTCTATTCCTTTTCTAATAATTCCTAGTATTTCATTTCTTTTTGATCTGCTGCCTAGCAACAAGTTGATGTTATCATGGAACTGCGTGGTCTTATTCCTCAGTGCTAATAGCCTGCTCAAAGCCTCTCATTTTGTATGACAACACAGGACTGCTTTTTTCACTTGCATTGCTTCATTTTTACCTACAGTGAATACCATCTGACAATTTACTGCATAATTACTAAATCTCATAAGGCCTTTCCCCCATTATTTTTTTCCCAATTAGCCCTTCTTCTTATTACCCTGAATACTTTTTATCATTAGCATGAGTTTTTTCCAACTGTCTGGTTTTGGCCAGTTATTCATCCATGCCCAGTCAATTACTGATTTGATCAAGTTTGCTGACTCTTACAAAAAATACAACAAGAAATATATACAGCAAGAATTCACATTACAGAAAATTTATTTTATTACAATTTCTATTAATTTGTCTGGTAGAGACAACACATTAACCTGCTTCTAGTTCTCAAGGTCCCCAGAGCAATTGGGTTTTGGCACCACAGTTACACCTTCTAGTACTACAGAACTGAAAACTTGCACAGAATCATCATGGTTGGAAAGGACCTCTGAGATCACTGAGTCCAACCACACACACACACAAAAAACCCCTACTATCTCAGGCACTAGAGCATGCCCTGAAGAGCCACATCTACATGTTTCTTAAATACCTCCAGGAATGGTGACTCCAGCACCTCCCTGGGCAGGTTTTTCCAGTGCCTGACCACTCTTTTCAATAAAGTAATTCTTCCCAAAATCTAATCTAAACCTCCCCTGCCACAACTTCAGACCGTTTCCTCTGGTCCTGTCATTATTCACTTGGGAGAAGTGAATAATGACAGCATGCTGCTGTTAGAAATCCAACTATTTGACTTCTAAATTTCCTCAGAGCTCTTAATGCATACCAGTTAGTCCTCGTAATTCCTTTGTGTTTAACCTGCCCATTTTTGCTATAACTTCATGATTCCTGAAACTCCAGGCAGTGTCTTTCAACTCATCTCTCAACCAGGACTACAGCTTGGGAATCTACACAGTTTCTTCTAGCTTTCTTCAGTTCTCTTTTATATCCCAGTCATCAGTTGTGCTACAGACAGGCCAGCACATTTTCAGTCCTTCATGTGCTGGAAGAAAGAGGGGTAGTTGTGACTCCTTTCATAATTCTCTTAGCTGCCAGTCTTTAACAAACTTTCTTATTTTACATTCTTCTACATATCAAAATTTGGCTCAGCAGTGGTGAATTTGTGTACCTTTCCTCTGTCTCCCAGTTTGCTCCTGCAGAACATTAATATGGGAGAGAGTAAATCCTCACCCCACAGTCAGATATAAGGATTCAAGAAACAAGAACAGTTCTTGGAATGACATAGTTAAGTACTGATTGACCAGAAGAATTGTTAGGACAATTCTTGACTGCATTTTAGATGAAGAATATTCCACCACTATCCTGCTCCAATATTGTTTTGACACAAAGTATCTGAGTGGGCTACATTTTAGTCAAAAGTCACATTAACAACCCTAAATTGATTTTTTAAAATAAATTGAGTGTTACCCGACTTTTATTTCCACCAGGCAACCAAAAATCCAACCAAGAAACTATAAATACACAGCACCTGTGTAAATCAACTCATTTATTTTAGATTTATTTTAGAAGCCTTGGCTGGCTAAGCTTCTATTGACAAAGGTATGTGTTTCAGCTTACATTCCTTTGTATTTTCAGTGTCCTTTAAAATCCTTTGAGTTAAAATAGGCAATCTTAAAACCGTATAGCAGCTAAGGATTTTGAGCAGAGTAGGTATCGCACAACTTCTTTATTCCGCCTTGCTCAACATTTTAACTGAAGTTCCACAAACTGGTCTTAATTGTGTAAGTAGAGGAACTATAAATTCTACCCCAGAGGCCATTAGATCTCTTATTTTTGTCTATAATTTGCTAACTTCACAGAAGTTAGCAACTAACCCCCCCCCAGATCGAGGAAATATATACCAACTTAAGAAGCTGTCACATGAGCAGTAAAAATGTATGCAAGTAATTTTAAGACAACAGCATCAAAGCTAAGTGTACTTTTACATATTACCCAGGATTCTCTTAAACAAAAAAAAGTCCCAGCCCAACCTAATAGTTCAAAAAACCATCACAAATAATTGTCAAATTGCGTATCTTAATGCGTCTATTCATTTTTTTGAGATGTCCAGCAATGAAATAGGTATTGAGCAGTAATTTTAAAGAAGAGCATATTACACGAACCCTTATCGATAATCTGCATCCTTTTAACAGACTCTAAAGGTCAAATGTAGTCAGTAAAAGGAGCCTTAACAAAGTATTAATAACATGCTCCAGAAGAATTTCTGCTCCATGCTATTGAAACCTGAAACAATTGGGTACAAATCCAAAGGGGAAAACATATATTACCAATGGACTGAGTGCTATCATCTCTTCATCAATACAAAGAGAAAATGACTCTGGTATTTCTAAGCCTGTCCTGGGCTTGTATCTGAGTTTACAAAGTAAGACAAAACAGAGTTATCCCAGAACCAACTCCAAAATCCTTTCAGCTCCTTCGCGGTTGAGCTGTTTTTTCTGGTCACCAGTCAACTCCTCCCTAGGTTTGATTTTCCAGCAGGACTGCTAGGCTTACATACTTGGAACTGTAGAGGAGACTACATCATTAACAAAGGAAATACCTCCGCCAGCCATAGAGGATGGTAAAAATCAATAAGTCAATTTCCTAAAATGAAGGCTTCTTTATATTGCTCCCTGCAGTAAGCAGAAAAAACCCAGCTGTCTTCAGATATGAAAACTTTAGCAGCAGGACTGCTGCTAAAGTATTATTTTAAGTATCAATTTTAAGTATTGTAACATAATACTTAAAAAAGACGTAAGTGAAACAACTGTTTTTAACACCACATAAACAATATTAAACACTTTCACCGAGAACAGGAGATAGAAATAGTTTCACTTGTTTCTCATTTTGAGAACGAGTACACAGATAAGTCTGACCTGTACAACCTTCACAACTATTTGGATTACATCAGCTTTGTTATAAAACCATACAGCCTCAAAATGTTGGTTCTAGTTACGAGTGTAGCTGAAGAAGCCACTGAGGATGGTGCTATTGCTACGTACCAACCTATCAGTCAGCAACTTTGTCCAACAACATTCCATACATATATGCAGAAACAAGCAGGACTGTTCTTATTCAAAAGCAGAGATATTTTCTTTTTGTACAAGATCCAATGAGATCTTCGATTGAAAGACAATTTCCCAAAAGATTAATTTTAAACAAGCATCAATGCCAGCATCACTATTACAGCTGTAAACAAAGAAGCTATAAGGATTACATCATTTTCTTGGGAGTATGTTAAATCTAAAGACTGAATTTAGTAATAGAGGTGTTAATTCCAGAATACAAATCTTGCTCAAGATATAAATTACTGACAGTCATTATAAATAATTTCACCTTTTCTAGCTTTTCACGGCACCCACTTCAAAAACACGCATAAAAGGGAGTTTTGTTCACAGAGTAACTCAAATGACTTACTTTCACAGTACAAATTTCTACCCCATGCTTAAAAAAGGCATAACAGACAAGAATGCCATCAAAAGACCCTAAGTCCAACGAGGATAAATAACATAAATTGCAATGGGATTACAGAATTATTGTAAACTGCCTCCTAATTTCATTCAAGAGCTCTCTCTGCAATATCTATTGTTA